GTGCCATGACAACTGTGAAGTGTTTCCTGGTTTGCTCTTGAGTATTCCCAGTGTCCTCAATCTCTCATTCAGGCAGTATTGATCCATGTGGGGTGAAGATGTGGCCACAACAGCGCAGCCTCCCTTTCAATCATCTGGTTTGTTAGCGAGCCTGTGGAGAGCTGCTGCTTTAATATTTAATCGTATGGTTAGATGTTTGCTAAACATCTCCAAACTGCTTCTCTGTTACGTTGCATTATTCAGGGGTTTTCTTACAATGTTACTGTCTCTTCACACGTCAAGCTCGTCAAACAGTGCCACTGCATAGAGACTGGGAGAAGGAAGCAGCAGAAATACTACTAAGCAGCACATAACACATATGTACTGTATAAAGACCAGGCGCCATGCAATTACCGAGCAACAACAGACAACCCAGCAGTCACATTGTAGGAGGTAACCATGGCAATCAATATGCCTCGATTGTCAAAAAACAGAGTACAGAGAGGGGGTGGTGGAGAGAAAAGAATAATGGACTATCTGTAAGTGTCAAAGGAAGAAGCTTGGGGGATGTTATGAAAGGAACAGTTCCTCATGGACTGGCAAAGGCCACGGCTCACTAAGCCAGGACATAACAGTAGCCACGATACCAAATCAGAGTCAAGATTTCAGACAGCTGAGGAGTGAGAAAAGAGCAACAAATGGTGGTACATTTTAAGGTTGCAGTTAAGAGACGTCCTTGGTTGACTGACTGGACTGTCAGATCCAGTCCATCACAGGGCTAACGTAAACAGACAAACACAATCAGATTCATGCTTACAGGCAGTTCTGACTCTCAAAGTCCAACTGAAATCACAGTTAGTGATCCCTTATTGCTCTAGAATATCATGCCAGAGCAATAAAATGTTAATATTTTTGGCATAATTTGAAGGACTGAAATATTTTGTACAGACATTCATGGTCACAAGAGGATGAATCCTTGACTTTTACTCTAGCATCACCATGTGGTCAAAATTTTTATATATCCAGTACTTTGGTGATGTGGCTCAATACCTGCAATATCAGCATGGTTAGCATGATCAGCGTGAGCACAGGTTAGCACAGCTGTAGACTCTTAGTCTTGCTTTACTATGAATTTAATTTAAGAATTGTTTTTGAATTTGTTTTCTCAAACCCAACCACTACTGAAAAAACTTAACACAAACAGGGAGAACGTGCAAAGCATGAAGGAGATTCAGGACCTTCCTGATGAGTAGACACTGATAACCACTGTGCTGCCCAACTGATGGATGTAATGTATTCTAAAATGTTACATAAGGAATAAATAGGGAATTTTAGAGATGCTAAATGTGTAGTAGTGCTAATGAGTTAACACATTTTAGTGAGGCAATGAAGAATTAACCCATCATATTGTGTGAAGTAGATTCCTTTAAATTTTCTAAAATAGCAGAGAAATAAGCCTATCAAGTGTAATGTCTAACATCAGGCATCTGGTATGAGTTGGCCTCTAGCCAAGCGGGGGGTAGGGTGGGTTGTTAGGTGCTGTGCTAGCCTTGTTTGCCCTCCTTCCTCTCCTCCATCCTCCATCCTCCGTCCATCCCTCCCTCCCTCATCTCCTCCACTCTGAGCCCTGCTGGCAGAGACTGTGCAGATCAAAGCATGCACAGAACAAACCGCAGGCCCTCTCACCCTGCAAGAGGTCTGCATTGAAACGCAAGCAGGGACAACGCAACTAGCCAAGGACTAGCAGAGAGGCCTGTGAGCAGGAGGAATTAGCCACACGGTAGCCAAAAATACTAATACTAATTTTCTTTTAGTGCCTTCATTCCTCCCATAGGGGGAGATATAAATGGACCATTGTATTTTCCCACTATCAGTTAAATTGTCAATACATTTTAGTTAACCAAACACACATTTACAGAAGAACCAGAGCTTGTATGGGAAAAAAACTCCACATAATTGGCTGAAATGTATCAAAACAAGAAAAAATAAATATGTTTTAACATTAATATTCCTCATTTTACTAATAACTGTAGTTTTTGTATTTGTTTTTTTTCTCGTCCTCTGTCTCATTCACTCTGTCTCCCTAGATGGAGCTCTGCTACTAGCAGGTCGCTGAGCGGTGAGAAGAACAGGAATGGCACATACTGTAGCCTCAGTGCCTGTCTCTGTACTGTTGCCTTGGTAACTTTGGCAGACAGGCTGTAATGTGTGTTATGTCAACCTCTTGGTTTCTGCTGTAAGTATAACTGCAGTCTCGGTTCCTGGCCACTGAAGTTGGGAATAAGGTGCTTTGCTCAATTTCCCTTTCAACACTGACAATACAGGAAACATTGGCTCTTTAAATTAAATTATAAGTCAGTAATCTTCTGCTCAAGACTGCTTTCTAACATTAAACACACACTCCTTGATCGTATCCCCATACCCAACAGTGCCCCAAAAATCCACAAATTAGCTTTTTCAAAACAGAAACAATGACCTGGGAACTATTTGGGTGCTATAATGAAATTAATTTAGTATTAAAATATTATTTATTGTTACCGTAATGGCAATTTTTAAGAACCTATACAACCTTTGACCTTGTCATTGTAAAACCATACGCAACTGTTAAAGAGGATATTATATGCATACAACCTTTAGCCCTGTTTCTCACTACACTCTATGTCCCAGTACACAGTGGGATGTTGAAACTTCAGTAAGAAGCCAAGGACATGATCATCTCACCACACTATCTGTCTGTTTACTGTCCCACAACTCAGGAATGTGTAACCCCCAACAGGGATAAAACCATACTGCTTCTGCCAATGGGGGCTCTTTGGACTTTCACATACGAGAGTGTGTGACGGTTGCATTGAGACCATTCATGGATGACTTGAATAAAACCTTACAGAAAGACAAGATCATACTTTGAATACTTTTTTAAACAAATTGCCACCACATTACATAATACCTATGGCACAAATTAGCCACTTTACTTACAGCAGCAACACTGTAGTGTATGACACCATTCAGCAAAAAAGAGTATAAAAAGGCCAAGTATTGATGGACTAATGCATCCCCTCAGACATAACTGACATGTTTAATAGCCAAAGATATTTCCATCCACTGGCCAAAGTCATTATCTGCGCAGGACAAAGCTAAGTCAATACTATGCAGTACACTACCACAGAAACAGGCCTGTCTCATCTCCTTAAATGACATACCGTAATAGTGTATATATTTATATTTTCTTCAAGAAATAAAATTGTGTACACTTGTATAGTTAAAATGCATCTCTTATTTCTGTCTAAATCAGAGCAGCAAAAGTGTTAATACATAATTTGTAATGTGAGAAGTTCATGTACGTTGCAGCGAAAATAAATACACACTGATGTACTTTTATTCAAGCCGTTAAAGATATTCTTATTATGATCTGGACACAAAACTATATGAACAAACTACAGTGTCAACACACCTCAGTCTGTGAGTCAGATTATTAAACATGACAATGGCAAAGGGGACACACACACAGACTCTGACACTGCATGACACACAATAGGTCTTGATGTGGGATAGAGGAGATGACCGGCTAAATGTCTTATTTTAGAATGATATTCTTCCTTTATATCCTTTTACTCCTGATGGCCTTCTGAGCATTCCTGCACACTCAGTGACCAATACTAACTATTTCAGAATACTGATGAAGGAACTGAAGTTGTTTTATTGTTGTACAAATTGTGACAATGTGCAGTTCAATGCGCAAAAGGTCAAATCTGGCCTCATGATATCTAACGAGCTGTGGTATGCTCAAGTGCCGCTTTCCATTAATTGTGATTTGATTGTGAGCACATTTGTATCTACAGGCACTTCACATTAAAATGCCTTCGCTCCCATCCACTGCTTTCTCTTTTACTAAGGCATACTTTGCTGCATGTGCACCTGTCATCAACAGTTTGTTTAACTAATCATGACTAATTATGATTCAGTGAAGATTATGTCAGTAATAAGATTTTGTTTCATAATATTATAATCTTATAATTCTATACTAATAATGAACCCTTTACGGAGCGCTGATCATTCACTGCACATGTGAATGATTAATGTCCCAGTCATGTTTTAATTATGTCAACATAATGATCCCATACACTTTCATAGATATTGTGATTGTAAAGGTTTTATTTATTTCTTATTACTTCCAGCCAACTGGAATGCAAGTCAGACAAATGCAAGGGCTTGAAAAATCAAGCTGTTGATTTGACTAACCAACAAGTTATATCTACTTTGTTAATTTTACAGGGAGTTGGAGCAAGGCTAGCTTTTTGCCCCTCCTTCTAGTCTTTATGCTAATTGAGCGTAAGCTAATTGCGTTCTGGCTCCAGCTTCATGTTTAGTGTATAGTCTTAAGAGTGATAAATATTTATAGAGTTACTTTATTGTCCCTGTTGGGAACATCACCTTTCCACTCTGATTATTAATTTTACACACACACACACACACACACACACACACACACACACACACACAATTGAACTGGCACCTCTCCAGCTCCCAGTATTGACTGGTGGGCTTGAACCAGCCACCCCCCGGTCCCCAAGCCAGGTCCCTATGGACTAAGCTACCCCCGTCCCCAAATTGAGTGATGTCAATCTCCTCATCCTACTCTCAGCAAGAAAGCACTTCAGCATGTGTCACTGACATTAGGGCACTGTTTGGTCCTCAGTTTAGCCTCTGATTCTGATTTAGTTGCTAGTTCCAAAATGTCCTTCCTATATATTGTTTATTTTGTTGAATTGGTAAATTGCTCAGGATCTGCAACATATTCATCACATCATAATTGTTTCAGTGGCTTTGTGGTGTTTGAGTAAGCTTTTAAGTGGGAAAGAAGAGCTTTCAGTCAGCAGTGATCGGAGCTACAGAGCGGTCATTGGCGCTTCAGTACTGCATGTTCTGTTCAGGTTGAGAAACACCTTTAAACAATAATGACTATAAACACAGACATGACAATCAGCTGGTATGTCTCAGTTGTACAGCTCAGTACTACTCACCTATATACAGCGAGGAGTCCTTCCTGTGTACATGGTCATCGATGTAAGACACTCCCAGAGGCTGGACAGGTGTGGCCCCGATGCCCAACAGGACCTGGGCTCCGATCAGCAGAAGGTACATCATGTTGGTGTTGGCTCTGTTGCCACATTTAAACCCAGAGTCTCGGTTCTCTGACCTGGAGGTGTTGGAGCAGACATCCCTGCCGTCCTCAGCGTGCCACGAGTCCCCGGCCTCGTACTCATACTGATGAGTCAGGAACTCTGGCAGGGCTGACAGCAGTGCCCCCAATGCCATGACAATCCCGCCACAGCCAATCAGGCGGGGTCTGTGGGCCTTGGCGCCAAAGTAGCTGACAAACAGGATGAGGGCCAGGTTGCCGATTTCGAAGCTGCTGGCAATGACGCCCACATCGGCACTCTGGAGGTTGAAGCGTCTCTCCAGAGTGGTCAGAACACTTACCTGTCAGGGAGAGAGGGAGAGAGAGAGAGAGCAAGTGTTATAGAGTGTTTTTACAACTAGCAGCCTTTTAGGACCGCAAATGACATCATAGCCAACCCACTGACTTTTTAATGCAGATTTATACAGTGATTTTATACAGTGTACAGAGTACAGTTTCTACAAATCTGTCAGAAGTATACATTTCATATATTTTCCCTTCCATTTAAATGTTTGTGTAAACAAATAATGCAGGGCATTGAGCTTCAGGTGTTATTCAGTTAAAGCAGGTATGAAACAGCCATCTGCCACTCAAACCAACAACAGCAACCTGTTGATGGCACACAGAAGCTGAACTGAACATCTTCATCCCCACCATCCTCTTCCTCCACCCGAAACAAGCCTGAGGCTAGCCTGATGCCAACCTGGGAGAGAGGGAGATGTGCATGTGTGTGGCTTTAGGCAAGAAACTTCATGCAGCTGTTCTAATTATCAAACGGACACAAACACATCGAACCGACTGTGTTCTGGGTGTGTGTAAGTGAGCATCAAAATGTGATCATGTACAGGACTGACAATAAAACGTTGGTCGGGAGTTATTTTAAGCTTTTATTAATCATTCATCCACAGCAAGGTGCAGTAGCCTCAAGACTTCTTCTAGCTATTCCAGCTAAAAAAGGAGAATGACTGTAATGCCAGTGAAATCGTACGGATCATGTATATTATCCACTTGTCTTATTCTGTCTTGTCCCACCAAACTCCATTGCAAAATCATAAAAATGTTGTTTATCATTACTAGCTATTATTGTCATTATCTATTAATCTGTCAAATTATTGATGGTTTGTTATTAAAATTTTACTATTTCCCACGATGATGATTTTTGTTTTACTCCCAACAGTCCAGAAACAGCCCCGAAGATAATCAATGTACTATCACATAAAACAATGAAAAACAATTGAGGTTAGAACAAAGCAATGTTTGGCATTTGTGCCTAGACAATTACTTGAACAATTAGTTGATCAACAAAACAGTTGATCAAAAATTATAATATATGTCCATCAATTTATGAACTGATCGACTAATCATTTCAGCTCCAGCAGAAAGCTCACTACTCTGTAGAACAAGAGGACCATTTCTGTTAGGGCCCAGCTAAAAAAAAGAAGCAATAACTGTACCATGCCCTCAGTCATGCCGTACTGGTCCTGTCCTTGGTGAAACACCACCAGAGGTTGCTGGACAGCGGTCCAAACAGCTAGACAACTGGCGGCCCCAATCCTCCCCCCAATCTGTAATTCACTTCTAAAATTGCCTGTCAAACATCTATTATTTCACCTGTGGAAACGTGATCTAGTTCTGTCACCGTGCAGAACACATGGTGGGGCTGACAGACAAGACGTTACAGCTGACAGCCTGACAAATCAATTTATTTTACATTTACTGAACATCCAGCTCACAATTGTGTTCACTGTTTATTTACTATTGTTGCAAAGTTGTAATTCATGGTTCCCTGACATTATAAGCTGGGAGGACACAGTTCAGAGGTCACAGAATCTAAACGACAGGGTTAAGATTTACTGTTGTGCCCCTAGAAGATTTACGTATGGCCTCATACTGAATGCTGATAGAGAACAGCCGCTTTACACCTTTTGCATTCCAAATTTAGACGTTTTAGGCCAATCCACTCCAATGTTAGATGATGCAAATTGTTGTAGAGCTGTAGACAACAGAGAAAAGAGAAAACCTGCCCATTTCAGTTTGATGTATATAGACTAAGATGTGGAAAGCTGTTATGCAGGTGCTGCTGTGCTGACTGTGATGATCTTCAGTCATTACAGCTTTGTCCTTTTCCAAAGCTTCACAGTAATTTATTTATAAAAAATATACAATGTGCTGCAGGAAAAAGAGGAGAGAACAAACGCACAGCGTGAACCAAGCAAGCCGCTGAATTAAAAAGAGACAGAGAATAAAAGATGATGACAAACAATATTTTATACAGGCGAGGATAGGCAGTGCTTCTACGGAGCTTTTGTCTGCAGCAGGATTTGCTAAAGGTGCACTTTTGGTTTGGGATGCTGCTTTAAAGGAGGAAGATACATTGCAGTCTTCAAGGTAAACACTAATGCACTTTAAATTTGTGACTGGTGCAAAACACATTAAACCCAACTCAGTCGTGTTTCTGCCAAGCTGCAGTCTTCAACAGACGAGAGGCAAGTTCTTGCATCTTTTTTCTAAACAAGGCCTCCTTCTCGACATCTCAACTGGCGAATGGGCGAACAGCTCACGTTGTTACACAGTTCACTTCCATACAATTTAGACCTTTTCGTCTTTCATCTAAACCAGTGAGCAAAAGCTTCACCACAGACCTCTGACCTTGCCTCTTTTTAAAATGCCTTCTTGGACTGTGTATGAATGGAGATGTTTCTCTCTATCTTTACTGAAATGGTAGTATATCAAAAAGCGAGAGCACCACTAAGTGTTATGTCCCTCATGAAGAATAAAATTAAGCTCCAACCTGCGTGTGCAATTATTTATAGTATCAAGACTGTGCTGACACCTATCAGGGGAATTGGAATTTAATTAGGCAAATAATAACCCTGATTAAAGTGGCATCTTTCATACTGATATAGATTTACAGTTAGTGGTTGGGTCAGCTGACTAATGTAGGTAGACATCAACACACAAACAGATTAACAACTGCTGTGGTTGGATACAACATTAACAGCTACCATTACTAACACTGCTTCAAAATTGATATCGAAATCTTCAGTACAGAGGTTTTTAATGTTTTGGTGATAGGGCCTAAGAGCCTTTCATTTTTTTTATTGTGAATGAAATCTTACATTTTTTATTTTCTTTTGGCTCCAGACTCATTTTACCCATCTGTTCATCCACTGCATAGATCTGCTTATCTCTTCTGTTGACATCAATCTAATCTAACAATGTATAAAACAGCACATTACTTGGATCAAACTGTCACTTGAAATAAATAAAAATGAAAGGAAGCTCTTATGAAAAGACAATATTAGCTATTGTCGCATGTGTTGTGGTGATCACGTCATCTCCTAGGCCTATATCCTCCAGTGTCAAAGGCCTCCTGTATCACTGAGGCGTATGGGTGCAGAATGTAGCAGAGCCGGCAGGTCGGATGGAGCTCCTGACCAGCGTTTCGTAATCTGCTCTCCAGCAGACCATCCATATGCGCATATAAAATTCTCCCACAACAACGTGGAGCCTATACGGCCGCTGTGACGCGCTTTATGTCATGCAGATGGTGCATAGGCCTGATGGATAATACGCAGCAAGTCATCAATCAGTGAAAGCAAGGCGTCCCATGGTTGCTGGAGGATGTGATTATTCTAATGTGATCAGAATGATATGATTATTAACCGCATCAGCTCAAGCACCGCATTGTTACTCACTGTCTGCCTGCGCCGGTTTGAAGGGCGCTGCGTTAACCCGACGTTACCTGACATATATAGCCTACTGACATGCGACGTTCCCTCAGACCAACACTGTGTCCGTGCTCGCTGTTCTGTAGGAACTCACCAGATAGGCGCCCACGGTGCCCTGTGCCAACATGAGCGCACATTCCGACACCAGGAAAATCTTAATGTTGGAAAAGCACGAGGTCTTCTTCTGGTTGTCATCCTGCTCCGGGTCGTCGGTGCTGCTCCGCTCTGTGCAGATCTGGTTTTTAACCTGCATCCTTCGGCTCAGGCTCCGGTCGGGTTGGACGGCATGAAACTGAACGGGTCCGGTCCGGTGGAGAGCATCTGGTTATAATGACGAGCTGCACTGCAGAAGAAGTGCGAGTCTCTTTGTCAATAGCCCGTCTAGGCTGGAATATACAGCGAGAAACACTGCTGTCCACTCAGCATTACGCACAGTCCGTCAGCGACCTCTCTTCACCGCCTGTCCAGCCAGTGCGTATCGGCTACATCATATTTAAATACGTAGGCTACGCATGTAGGCTATATGTATGACGGCTTCTAATACCCGACGTAGAACTACAGGACGCTGTTTCCCCACATCCGGGATGTTGCAGCTACACTCAAGACCGGTACCCACTGGATTTGGTTTCTCAGCCCGGTTCCGAGCCGCAGCTCTGCGTCCTTCAGGCGGTGTTATGATGCTCCTCCTCCTCCCATCCATAGAGCAAGATTGATGTTATCTCTCTCTCTCTCTCTCTCTCTCTCTCTCTCTCTCTCTCTCTCTCTCTCTCTCTCTCTGTCCCTAACCATCAACGTGTTCCCCGCATCATCATTGTACCTGTGCAGACTTTCAGCTTCCTCATTGCCACATAGACATGCAACATTTCATCAGAACACTCTCTGAAGGATCCCCAGGAGCAAACACTGGCAAATCAGCTGGATATAAAATGACAAAGCACATCTTTGTCAATGTTGTGTTCTCTTATATCAGTTTGTAGAGTAATAATGCAACAGTAAAATATCATCAGGAGATGGGTTCGCGTTCAAAACTGTAGCCTACCTCCATCTTCGTGGTACGTGTCTACTAAACCATTGTAACCTCGTATTTTTTTAAATAATAATAATACAAAAAAAAATGTAATTAATATTATTTTGTGTTTCGACACTTGTTTCATCACAATAATCCAGCCTCCTCTGCCGTTTTGTGTTTTATTTTCACCATAACCTAATTTTCCAGAAGATATCCCAGTTGGAGAAGGTCGCCACTGTCCTCTCTGATTCTTCATCAGTTTCTGGGGAGGTGCAGCGAGACATTGAACCCCACAGCCTCTGTGATGGAGCTGGACAGTGCTGCAGGAGTAGTAGACCGAGGCTGCATTGGCAGTTTCATAGTGTGAATGTACAGAAATTAAAATGGCAAAGTTACTGTGAAGGTGAGAGATGAAGTTGATCAGTCAGTCACTAAGGTCATGAAATCTGGAAGTAAGAAGTCAGAGGCGACTGGGTTTGCTGCTCACTGTCTATGGCAACAGTTCTGTCCCATGAAAGCCGCAGACAGTAGAGCAACATGTTTTCAGTATGACCGAGAAGATCAGACAGGCAGAGGAAAGTCAGGCAAGTGGGAAGACACCCAAAAGTTTGAGATACTCCTACTGGAGGTACAACAAAGCAAAGTGTATTTTTCCAGTCCAAATTATTACTTCACTAACAATGACCACTCCATCGAATGTATGAAATAAGAAAAGTTTCTTGCACATAATGAACAATTGTGAACTGATGTGGTATACTAAGGGATGAGGGGAAGGGGTTCAGGGATGAGGGATGGAGGGATGAGGGATGGAGGTAGGATCGAGGGTTGAGGGATGGAGGAATGAAGGTCGAGGAATGATGGTCTGTTGGCGGATGGATGAATGGATGGAGGGGTTCAGCGTGATGTAAGAGGGAACCGCGTGGGTTGTGAGACACTGAATGGGGGAGCTGTGCCTTCGTATCTCTTGTAGAGAGCCCCAGTGGTTCCTGTAATTGGATAAGAGAGGGAGAGAAAAAGAAAGGGTTTGGGGGGGAAGTGGAAAACGAGTCAAGGAGGGAGTGGACGGATAAGGTGTGCTTAAGTAAGTTTGAGCGAAATTAGATGTGTGCAGGGCGTGGTCTTTGTTCCCGAACCTAGTTATAAAATTTAATTTACTGCATACAGAATCTTTATTTACCCTTTAAATTAAAGTTTATAGAAAACTTTAAATAAATTCAATTTCTACCATATTGTAGGGTATTTTGTAGCCCCTAGGTTGAGCACAGACAAGCCATTTATGGCTGTTTCATTTTGATGCCACACATTATACATGTCTTAATGTAGACCACATGTCATGTACTGCTGGATTCAGCGCACTCATACATTTCTAACAAACCCTGACTGATGTGCCTACCTTAAAGTAAATTAGTATTTCCACCTATTGTACTTTTGTGTTTGTATTCCTGCGTGTCCTCGATGCATCAAGTTATTTTCTGACATGTAGAGGAAGCCCCTGCCCACTTCCACACCAAATCAACCAGAGCATTATGACATTACATGAGTTCAGGTTTAACATCTCCCACTCAGCCTGGCTTTATTTTTACTTTTTATATTATTCATGTGATACGTCACAGTATCTGTTAATTAAACCACTTTTGCAGTAAAATATTTTTATACAAGAATCCATTTAATATATGGGAAACCGTGGAGAATGTAAAAAACGTTGTGCTTTGTTCTACCTCCGGTATGGGGTATGTCTAGGACTAAAGCACGTTTGGGGCCCTTCCACAACTCTATTACTGCTCCATTGTGTTACCATTTATTGACACTATAAGTGCCTATTATAGATTTATTACTGCTTTATTATTAGTCCATGGTTAAACCAAATACTGCTGCATTCTTTTTATCCTGAAAATTCCTAGATATCTTGAATAAGTTGCCAGGTTTTTATTTTCTATGGTTCAATATTTAAATTTGTTGCAATTTGCAGTAAACAGCGCTAGTTTGTGTTTCTCATCACATTGCAAATTTGTTTGAAAGCTTCACTTTATTCCCTGGTAGGGTCTAATGAAATGAAGTCACACTGAAATAACATTAGAAAGAGTTGCAGTGCATCTTTGCAACTTATTTACCTTCCAGAGATGATGGTCATTGCTGCTGTAATGTTATGAAGCATGCTCAGGGTCTACATACATAAACTGAATAAAGTTTAACATTCAGCAACATATATAAACTATCTATGGGGCAGGGGCGAACAAGAAAAAAGGACACCTCTAACATGCAGGGGTTAGGTTTTAGGTATTTTAGGGCTAATTTCTCCCCAAGATTACTACAGTGCGCCATATGAGTTCACCACAGGGTCACTTAAACCAACCCGAAAGTCTCCTCAGGGCAAACATGAAACATGGAAGCATCTCATTAGAGCCCAGACAAAGGTTAGATAAGGGTCTCAAAAGAAAACCACGACCTCACCCCTGTGAACAGCAGTGTATTATAGTATTATTGTGTTATGTTATTGTGATAGAAACTTTAGCTGAGGTAATATATCTTCATGCTTGACCGAAGTGTACTCCGAAGCTGGCTTCAGGCTGGTTAAAAATTCAACACTTGCCACACAAGAACTCTATTACACACATCAGCAGCCTGCTGTATTGTACTGCTGTAGTTGTTCTACATGAACACAAGGTGAAGCACTTTGGTATCATTGTGGACAAATGCTCAGGGACCATTGCAATCTACAGCATATTTATTTCATGATTTTCAATGTGTACTTTAAGCTTTTATATTTTGACACTTAGGGTGGTGTGATTATCCTCCTTAGAGTGACTACATGATGAGAAGGTGGTGTGTGTCTTGTTAGGGCATACTCTTACAATATTCTTTATAGCTGTTAAGAGAATTGAAATTCTGACCTCTGTAACCACCTTGCTTGCCACAAGGTAACGACCGCCATCATGCTGTTGTCCAGTAAACACCTTGTTGTGCTTTCTTAACCCTAAAAAAGGATTGGAGATGGAAATGTACTGGTATTACTGGTGGAATGCAAGCTTTCCAGCTAGCAGTCAAGCGGATGTAATATAACTCTCCATTGTGCTTTTTAAAGAAAGTGATGGTTGAATTAGAGCAGCAGCCCCTCCAGAAGGGCTCCTGTCTGCAATAGCTGCATCAGGTGTACTATGAGTCTTCTGTTACCAAATTAAATACTACATTGGTTTACTTGGTATAAAATGCATAAATGTAAAAAATGCAATAAAAAGATGTTCTTCTGGTTTGTATCAGGGATCAGAATGATGAAGTTCATCCACACTCAAATTTGTCATGTGGAAGAAATGAAAATGACAGCAGAGTGGCAGGATAGAGTGCCACAGAGACAGCAGTAAAAAACACAGGGCAGAAATCCTCCATCATAAAGAGCACTGAGTGCCAAGGTCACTTACCACTCACCCCACAGCTTTTGGCTTACAATATTCCTCGGACCATTCAGATGCTCTATCAGGACCAATTCAATAGCATCTGAAGCAGCACAATCTATCAGGCAAACTGTGGACTCAGCAGGAAGAGCGTCCATTTCTCATGGAGTCACTCAGAGTACCCGGGGTGATTTAAGATCAACCACAGTGCCTGCTGATGCAGTGCAAGCCAACTGAAGACATTATTTTAGGATGCCTCTTAATCACAAGGTCCACAGAAAGAAGAATGCATTCATGCATTTATCCTGTAACAAACAAATAAATTACCAGAATATAGATGCAACTGATGCCAGAGTTTATATTAATGCTAAAACCTTTAATGCCCTTTGTAGGTTTTGGCTTTGTTCTCAGAAACTTGTGTATTTTTGCAATATGATGTATAGTAAGTCTGTTCAGTGATTGATTTCTCAATGATTGAGAAAAACCATGATGCACATTTGCCATCACTTTTCAGATAGCCTTTAAAGCACAGCTAGGAAGAGAAATGTAAAGTACATAATCAGTAAAGGTTGGATGGGTACATACTGTAAGACCCATATGTATGCTGTAGAACATGGGACTCTTTTTCTTCTTTTTTTTTTCTTTAAACAGGGGATGTCTCTGACTGTGACCTTCCTACTGTTGGCTGCCTGTCATGCTGGTGATAAAGCGACTTAAGGTCAGTCTACTCTTGACCTCACTGGACATTTCAATAATTAAAAGCATCATTAAAATGACTTGTGTGAGTTAATATCCAATTAGGTGGATTTTAGATTTGCAATAGAATTTGTCTGCTGAAGCAGCTTCTATTTTAAACAGCTAAATGATTTTCTATGAGAGCAGCGGGCTGTAAAACAACTCCCAGGAGATCTGTAGACAAAAGCTTTGTTTTTAACCGTTTTGCACACACAAGTTTTTACAATATCTCTAATGAATTGAAATGGCACACCAGCCTAGTAATTCAGTCCAAACAGATTAATGCTTAAACAATGTTAATGTAACATGTCAAAAAAGTAAATCTAACAGTTATTTTCATTATCCCTTAATCTCATTTTTTTTCTTGATTAGATTTCTTTTTAAAAATTGTTAGAAAATAGTAATCACAATTTTATAAACCCCAAGTTATTAATTTAATTGCTTGATTTGTCCAACCACAAAGGGAGTGGGAAAAATTTACTTAAACAATTAATCAATCATAAAAATAGTTGCAGATTATTTTTAGTCAATTCAATGACTGTTTCCATTCTGAATAGATACATAGATATATATAAATTACACAGGCACAGTTCGTGATTCAAAAGATTAGTCTTGTTCTTGAAAATCTAAACTAAGATTGGAAACCTACATTTTTCAGCCATTGGTGTTGTCCATTGGTCAGTCCACAATTTTGGTCCAGTCTGGAATATCTCAGTTTATGCA